GATTAGGTGGTTTTTTAAAATTGCGTTTCTAATTCTTTGCACCTGAAGTTTTACTGTCGTAAATCTACTCGGTTTAGGAATTTGTAATTACCAAATCAATGTAATTACCATTAGCTATGTTGTAAAGAAGTGAAGTTTATATTTTGTATTATAATTTAGATTTACTTATTTCAATAAAGATAAAAATATTTATATGAAGTATTTATTTTTGACAACAGCCTATGTTAAATTATAACACCATTATCAACCCTTAACTCAAAAATATATCTCTTTTATTTGGTCTAGAAGCAAATTATAACAGTTTATATAGTTAGATGTTTATTTAAAATAAGCTCGCTTTATTTGGAGAAATCAATTTTTTAACGGTATAGATTGCGGTTTTTCACCCCCTCTAGCCTCCTGACTACGCCCTGTTGCTAAAAAATAATTTAAATTTGTAGCTATTTCTTACATCTTTCTTTTGATTCCAAGTTATAGCCGTTTTGATGAGAATAGACAAAGTTATAACAATTTACATTAGGAAAATTTTATTTTTAACCACAGTTTCTATAACAAATTCATATTTCAATAATTTATTACTTATAACCTTATAACTTTGTGCAAAATTGTTCAATTTTCTAAACTGTTTTCATCTTTAAAATACTGCACTAGTGGTCCTTCCAATGATATATGACAATCTACCAATTATTCAATTCAAAAATTTCATGTAACAAACCTTTATATATGTGCAACGGTTTATTTATATATATATTTTTGTATTAAATTAACGTTTTCAAGCTAAAAAGATAAACATTTGTTTTTTCTCAAAAACAAAAAAGTACTTTTTGTTAACTGTCTATTTTATTCTATGTAATTTGAGAAGATTTACAACCTTCAAATTTTGCATATTAAAGTTTTATGATTTAATAAAGCTAATATTAGATACTTATATGATATAATTGATCAAAAAACATCGTCAATGAGGCGTTGGTTAAATATAACGCAACTTGAGTTACTCCCCCGTCTCCCATCTCCTTCTCTTATTTTATGATGGATTATGTTAGAATACATGATATTGATTCAGAATCGTTTAAAAACATAGGTTTAAAAAAGTAAGAAAAGTACTTTAATTTGGTGTTAAAAATTAAAAAGTTACACTAAAAACGCGAGTATTCGCCATCTTTTTAAAAAAATTCTAAAACACAAAGACTTTTTGCTTTAAACATTTTTTTTATTAGCGCCAATAAAGACCAAGATGTTTTTAAATTTACTTATAAAAAAAAAATTAATCATAACCGAGAACAAAAATACTTTTATAATAGCTTTTTTAGTTCAACTTTTAAATAAAATTTGAGTATTTACAGTCTTAAATTTGCAGACCAATATTTACATACGCTTCTGCATCAACATAATGTATTCTATATAGAATACATTATATTCAATCATGAAAATTATGCGCTGGGGCGGAAGAGAGTAGCGCTCGACTTCAATCAGTATCATAGACACAATTCTAAGTATTATTGAGAAATGTTAACAAATGATCTATTTATCCAAAAATTTATCTTATAGCTTTGGGATACTTAAGTTAAAATTTCTTTGCGTATATATGGCTTGTGTGTTAGTGTAATTAGAAGAAATAAAAAGAACACAATAGAAGTAAAAATTATTTGATTAAGTTTTTGTATGCTTACATTATAAATATACACAAAATTTTCCAACTTTTATTTAACTATTAGAATATAGGCTGTTATATCTAAGTTTTCATTTGTTAAAAGGTTTTATTCTTGATAACATAAGTTATTTACTTAAATAACTTATGTTATTCAGAGTAAAAAAAGATTTGTAGGACCAACGTTAAAAACGCTAAAACGTTTCATTTAAACTTAATTCTATTAAATTAAAATTTAATTATATAAACTATAGATAACATTAAAACATAGCAAACTTTTAATGCTATAGAAAGAAAAACTGAACTTTTTTAAATAAGAAGAAAACTAGTACTAGCCTATTTGTTTGGTTTCTAGCATGTAAAAAAAAGTGTAAAATATTTTGAAAACATAAAAAAAAAAAAAAATTACATTACTATTATTACAATTGACTTTTAAAAAACATAATAATTTTTTTCACAAAAACTGAGCAAAAGTAAAAAAAAGTTTAACTGACTTCTTCACTTGAACTCTTCCTCATTTCGAAGGGAATGCCATAACATTGTTTCTGTGAAAAACCTAGAAAAATAAAACTAACGAGTTAGTGTTTTAATATTTACAAAAAACTATGAACAATTGACTGGATTATACCATTGCATTGGAAGAACTTTGAAATAATCAGACTTTACACTTGAAGTAAAAAAAATGAACAAGGAATTAAAAAATTTACTAGAATCTTTTTTCTTAAATATCCATTTTTTGCGAATAAACGACACCCAATAGTCTTTAACCTGCTTATTTTGTAAAGTGTAGGCATATAATATAAAAAAGCCTTGCAACGAGTTAAAAATACAAAACAACCATTGAAATACATCTCGCGCATCTTTGTAAGCAAACACTGCAAATATCCAAGTTGTACCAAGTAATAGAGAGCAAACAAATGCACTTCGAACATTTTTTTTACAGTCGCACCTGCTATGTAGAACAGATTTCCTTGTAATACTTCTGAGAACAGACGTTAGAACTAAAATATTGCCAGCCATTACAACTGCAACAGGTATAAATATGCCAATATAAAATAGAGTACCATGATGCATGCATCTAAAATATATGTAAAATTGAAAAGAAATTTTGTAAGAATTCCAATCTTATTTTTTCACAAACATGTATATTAATATGAATTTGAATTTGTTTATTCAGAAATTAGAAACTAACATAACATTTAATACAATACAAAGTTTATAAATTTCTAATGAAGTTGTGCCACACCACACTCAAAAAAAATCTTTGTCGTTGCACAGTAAGTAGGGATGGCTTATTTACATATTTTGATGTAAAAACGCGAATTACTTTTAAGCGTGAACTGCTTTATATAACTCATACTAAAATATATAATTTATATTTAAAAATAATACTTTTTTTTTTAAATAAATTATATACCATGTAAAACTTAATTAAGTTATTTAAATGAGTAACTGTTACTTTATATAGAAATAGGTTTTTTACAAGCAAATCTAATTTACATTTTTACTTTTACTTGCAAATATAGTTTACTTTTAATGGAAAGTTGTGTATTAAGTAAAGTAAATTACATTTCAAAAGTAATTTTGGTTATAATTATGTAAGAAATTTACATCAAAACGTAATTAATTTTTTTATATGTAAAAAAAGATATTTATGAAGTAAATTTACGTAAATATACTTATTTAAAAAACTTAAGTAAAATTAATATTTATTTTTACTTAAGTAAAATTAAAATGCATCATAAAACCAAATAACTTTTAAGTGTAAAAGTAACTAATTAGCAAACACAGCTCACACAAAAGAAATTTGAAAAAAATTGTTAGTTGCAATTACAATAAAAGTAAATTTTGTATTTGAAATTTTATACTTTATTGGCAAGTAAGTAAAAAGTTAGTTTTATCATTTACATCTTCAAAGAACTTCAAACAACATTTCATGTTGATTTAACGTAAATTTTGAGGTAATTATTTAAATTCTTATTAAGCTTATTCAAACTATATAAACTTATTCAAATTAATTGCCTGTGTGTGGGCACTTCTGTTATAGGGTAATTTTATTATAATTAAGGGCAATATACAATCAAGTCAATTATAGTAGTCAAATATACCAAAAGAGTAGAGATGGGCTTCCTGCCACGTGAGAGCATATTGCTAATAAGGGCTGCTAATCAATCAATTATTATATATTTTTTAAATTTTTGTCGAGCGGAAATAGGTTAGTGGCCAAATACTTTGACTGAATATGGAGGAGGGGGAGGGGGGAGGAATAACTGAGGTCATAAATTCTTGCAACGTTACTGGATGCTACCCATGCATACAAACCTTTTCACTATTTGTTAGAGCGAATCTTTTCTACAGTATTTTTCTTTGTATTTGCCTTTTCAATCAAATATTTTGTTATGGTAATATGACACAGTATAGCTTTTTTGGTATCCGGAAGGACATCGATTACTGAAACAGTTTTAAAAAAATTCATTTAAATAATCTGATATAATCTATATGATAAAAGAAGTGTTTATCAGATACACTATTTATTTCGTTTCATCATATACAATCTTGTGAAGATTGTGTTGTTTGCTGAAGAACAGTTTCAAATACATTAAAAAATATTTTTTTACATGTTACAAATTTGAAAAAGATGGTAAGGAATGCCGGTCAATCTTCTACTATAGTTTGTGGGCATCCATCTTTATGTTGCGTTGGTGTCCAAAAATCTCATTTAACTAAAATGATGCTTTAAAATAAATTTGTAATTTTTTTTCAAACGTCCCAGTTAACGCGTGAAACCAATATGATATAAAAAAATTCTCTTGCTGCAATATCAAATAACTATCTCAATATGATATCATATAAATGGCATAACAATAGATAAATAAATTCAAGTTGTGATATAACCATGAGATCAAACTGAGATTACGATTTGATATCAAACCATGAGAAACTTTTGATATCTTAATTATATCGCAATGATATCGTAGCAGCTAGGTTTCGAAAGGAAGATCATAAGGATAATATCATCAGAATCTTAAACGTTAAACGTATTTACAAGTAATATATAGATATATTGAAGTCTTAACATAATGCAAAGATACAACATACAATTATTTTAATATATAATATGCTGAAGATTTTGAATGTGAATTTAGAAAATTGAACAAATTCACGGACAAGTCTACTTAAAAACTGAAAACTTTTTTATTTCTTCTTGTAACTCAAAATAATTTGGTATTCAAAATATTTTAGTATTGAAAACATATATTTCAAGAAAACTAATTAAAACGTTGAATATTATTTATACACTCAATGCAAAGATAAAATCTAAACATAGAATTCTAAATAAAATTGATAAACCAAAGATAAAATTTGAATCTCTTGGATTAACTTGATTCTGATGAAAAGATTGTGTAGTTTGCTAAAGAACACTTTCAAATACATTTAAAGTTTTTTATTTACACGTCATAAAAATAAAACATATATAAACAAATTTCTTTTGGTGCTATTGTTTAAAGACATTTTTCGAATTTGTTTTACAAAATTATTTATTGCACATATCAATTGTATTATAATTATAAAAAAATAAGTTCCTTTTTGTAATTAAATTTACATATATATATATATATATATATATATATATATTATATATATATATATATATATATATATATATATATATATATATATATATATATATATATATATATATATATATATATATATAGATATTATATATATATATATATATATATATATAATATATATATAATATAAATATATAATATATATATATACTATATACATATATATACATATATATATATATATATATATATATATATATATATATTATATATATATAGATATATATATATATATATATATATATGTATATGTATATAAATATATATATGTATATATATATATATATACATATATATATATATATATATATATATATATATATATATATATATATATATATATATATATATATATATATATATATATATATATATATATATATATATATATATATATATATATATATATATATATATATATATATATATAGATAGATATATATATATATATATATATATATATATATATATATATATATATATATATATATATATATATATATATATATATATAGATATATATATTTATACATATATTACATATATATATATATATATATATATATATATATATATATATATATGTATTTATGTATATGAATATATATATATATATATATATATATATATATTATATATATAATATATATATATATATATATATATATATATATATATATATATATATATATATATATATATATATATATATATGTATATATTTGTATATATATATATATATATATATACATATATATATATATATATATATATATATATATATATATATATATATATATATATATATATATATATATATATATCTATATATATATATATATATATATATATGTATATAGATATAGATTTATATATGTATACATATATAAATCTATATATATATATATATATATATATATATATATATATATATATATATATATATATATATATATACATACATATAAATGTGCTGTAATATGTTATATATGAAGTGGCATTGTGATCATTTAATAATATAGCAATAAAGTGGCGTTGTAATAATTCAATAATTTGAGCACAAATTTGATATCAATGATATTAAATTTACCTTCAAGAGTTGTTTATCAGTAATCTGCTGTCCCAGAATCTTGCGATTGAATTTTCACTACCTTCCAAATTAGCTAGAGCTAATATGGAAACTTTCAATATTTTTGTAAGTTTGATAAACGTTTAACGAGTCAACAAGGAACGTCATTTTGTTAACATTTTTTTGTTTAATTTTACTTTATTTTTCGAAATGTTTAGAAATCTGATAGCATTTGAAATGCTATTTTATTTGCCTTAAAAATTCCCATAGTTCTTTTTAAGAAGTACGGATTTTAGTCCAAAACGTTTGCAATTATTTAATTTTTATGAAAAGTTGCAAAAAATTACAATCTTTATCAATGAATTAGGGCTGTAGATATATATTTATATGTTTTTGTATATATGCATTGTCAAGTGTAAATATAAATCATGTGGTTTTTTTATAAAATCTGCTCTTTAAAAGCTATATAGATATTGAAATTCAATTTATTTAAAAACTAGTACTAAAAATAGAAATAAACAGCTGGATAGACTAAATGACCATTTCAATGTTATTACTTATAAAGATAATTTTCAATTGGATCTCAAATTTTAGTTTACAAATATAAGTCAAATTACAGCTAAATAGTAGTTTTAAGCAAAATAGACATAAAAATCACTGTGTTCTAATATATACGTATATATTTATGTATTAATACGTTTACATTTACGACATTAGTCATCAGAAGTTATATGTTGTAAACTGAAATTTTCGATATACACATTATGAACCCATGTGTAAAATTTTAGATCATAAGTTGCATCATCGATGGAGTCTATCCAAGAGTTTAATAGTAAGTTATGTTATCGGTAAAAAGATAGTTCAGAAATCATTATGAATTTTTTAATACGTTATTCGGAGAAAGTTGAATTAATTGTCGCGTAAGATAAAAATTAATTGCTTTTGTTACATTTGTACCCGAAAACTTCGGATACGGATGTAACGGATACAGATTTGGATATATAATTCAATAATTTAGTTTTCTAAGGAACAGTAATAGTAATAATAATAACAATATTTCTATATTGACAATAAAAACATAAACAAAACACAACAAATAGTAAGGAATAAACAAACTAAACGATAAACTAAATACAGCTTATCAGAGATAAAACAATTTAAAAAAAGTTTTGTTAAACTTTTCTAATATAAAAATTTTATTATTAACAAAAATAAGTTACAAATATATTTTAAAACTATAATTTTCAATTAATACTATTAGGCTAATAGCTGCATTTTGTCTTAGCATATTGGAAATTCGACATTGGTGCAAGTTGTACTCTAAAGTTTGTGTTGGAAAGTGACGGATGTGAAATCAATTCTGAGGCCCTT